CATGGACACTGTACTTTCAGGGTTAAAATGGACGACCTGTTTAGTTTATCTAGACGACGTCATAGTGTTTTCCCCAACTTTTGACGATCATCTCAAGAGGCTAGAAGTTGTTTTACGAGCCATACGCTCCGCAGGCCTCACATTGAAACCAGAGAAATGCCACTTTTGTTTTGAAGAACTGCTGTTTCTTGGTCATGTCGTCAGCTGTACCGGTGTTCGGCCTGATCCCGAAAAACTTGCGGCCGTGGCACAGTTCCCAGTACCGTCCGATAAGAAAGCTATCAGGCGCTTTCTGGGCCTATGCACCTACTATCGCCAGTTCATCGCCGACTTCGCACGGATTGCGTCGCCGTTAACTCACCTCACTAGAGACGACGCCACCTTTGAGTGGAACCACGAACAGCAAGCAGCGTTTAATGACCTCCGCCAACGTCTTCAAACACCTCCAGTGCTTGCTCAGTTCGACGAACAAGCGCCAACAATGCTTCCCACTGATGCAAGCAATGTAGGCCTCGGAGCTGTGCTTGTGCAGTGGCAAGAAGACATGGCACGAGTGATCGCCTACGCAAGCAGGATGCTAACACGCACTGAGGCCAATTATTCAACAACTGAGAAAGAATGCCTCGCCGTGGTCTGGGCAGTTATGAAATTTCGCCGGTATTTGTATGGCCGCCCTTTCAAAGTTATAAGTGACCATCATTCCCTCTGTTGGTTGACTAATTTAGGAGACCCAACCGGCCAATTAGCACGGTGGAGTCTGAAGTTACAAGAGTTTGATATGACGGTCATACACAAGTCTGGGAAGCGCTATACGGACGCCGACTGCCTGTCTTGATCACCAGTACAGTCAGCTTCTCTTTTTGACGACGACGATATGGCCTTCCTTGGTGTTCTCGACGCGTCCACGATTGCCCAACAACAACGAAGTGACCCTGAATTGCTTGATTTGATTATTTACGTGGACGGACGTTCTTCGAGGTCACCTAGAGTCTTTGCAAGGACATTATCGTCGTTTTGCTTACGCAATGGCGTCCTCTACAAAACAAACTTTTCATCCATCGGAGCTCCCTATTTGCTCGTTATTCGTGCACCCCTTTGAACTGAAGTGCTCCAAGCATGTCACAATGAGCCGACGTCTGGCCATTTAGGCTACACTCGCACATTGGCAAGAGTACAGCAGGGATACTACTGGCCACGACTCACAACAGCCGTCAAGCACCACATTCACACTTGCATCGATTGCCAGCGACGCAAGTCACTTCCAAAGAGACCCGCCGGTCAGCTGCAACCTGTTCAGGTTCCACGTACACCGTTCGAACAGATAAGAATGGATATTTTGGGACCCCTTCCTACTTCTACTGCAGCGAATCGCTGGGTTATAGTCGCAACAGACTACCTAACCAGGTATGCTGAAACAAAAGCTATCCAAAAGAGCACCGCAGTGGAAGTGGCGAGATTTTTCATAGAAAATATTGTGCTACGCCACGGTGCCCCGACTATCGTAATCACAGACCGCGGAACAGCATTTACGGCAGCTCTTTTAGACCACGTCCTGATGCTTAGTGGAACGACTCACCGTAAGACCACTGCGTACCACCCGCAAACGAATGGACTAACGAAGCGCCTCAACAAGACGATTGAGGACATGCTGTCGATGTACGTGGATGTCCAACATAAGAATTGGGACGAAATTTTACCCTGTATCACGTTCGCATACAATACGGCTAAACAAGAGACGACTCGCATGACTCCATTCAGCTTGGTTCACGGACGGGAGGTACGGACTATGCTGGATGCGATGTTGCCACATGAATGGGACGCTACCGACACAGGCGCTGACGTGTTCACTGAACGCGCGGAAGAAGCTAGGCAGCTCGCCCGCTTATGGATCCACCAGCGACAAGACTACGACGCAGGCCGCTACAATGCTCGCCATAGAACTGTAACGTACAAAATCGGTGACAGCGTGTGGGTTTGGACACCCGTACGAAAACGTGGACTGTCCGAGAAGCTGCTAAGGCGATATTTCGGGCCATAACCAGTATCGCGCCAGCTAAGTGATGTCACCTACGAGGTTGTCTCAGACAGTCCCCAATGCCCCAGGCGCCGCCAGCACCAGCCTGAACTTGTTCATGTAGTGCGTATGAAGCCGTATGTGAGTGACTGACTGCACGTTAAAAAATACTGTGGGTCTGAATCAGCATCGGGGCGATGCTCTTATAAGGACGGGCAAGTGACACGTGTTTATATGAAAAAGAATGATGATAGGAATGTTTTGTAGATTCCAGCTAGTGGGTCAGGTGGTTTTTCGGGACAACGAAGCAGGCATCTTGCTGTACAGCTGATCCTGAATACACTCTTTTCGCTGCCGTAAGCTGCTGTCATCTTTTGTTCGCGTTGCACTGCGACAATATATACACACACACACACACACACACATATATATATATATATATATATATATATATATATATATATATATATATATATATATATATATATAGGCAGGCATGGTGGTTGAGTGGCCGTAGCATTGCATATAGTCAAGTAGATCCTCCGTGAGCGGTCACAACATGGTTTATTTCGTTTCGGCCTCGAGTCTGGCCTTCATCAGGATCGAAGGCATCCTGATGAAGGCCAGACTCTAGGCCGAAACGTCGAAATAAACCACGTTGTGACCGCTTACGGAGAATCTACTTGATTATATATATATATATATATATATATAGTGCTGTCAATGAGAAGCGGCACGGGTTCGCATTTACCTTATCATTGTAAGGAGTGCTCGTGTTAGCCGCTACTGAACTGCACGAGAATCTTGCGAAGAAGCAAAGACAAAGTGGCACGTGAATTAGCAAAGGCGATGTATATTAGACAATTTGGTGGTCAATGTACTAGTGTTTCGTCCCTGTCATTGTATACAATGATAATGAATTTGCTTTTTTATCTGATAGGTTCTGATTATACTTAAATTTTTCGTGTAGTTGTACGCATGCATGAGGGTATCAGAATATGAGCTTCGATTTAATAAAAGTTACTTGCGAGTGTGCGCTTTTCCGTGTCTCTTCTATCGTCTTCAAGTTTGCACCAACGACGTTTTACACAGCTACACGCGAACTAGCTCGACAGCATACATTACTGAGCCCTTCGGATGGCACGCACAGAAAGTGATTGTGTGCAATGCAACACCACCTCGAAATAATTATTCCGGATACCACAAGCCATTTTGCATTTCTATGTATTGCAACCCACGTTCATGAAGAATGAGAACGAAGTATGCAGCTGCTTACGCTCGCAAGCCACTTGCCACGGAACTAAAACTCTAATGCAAGTCAGTTCTGCGCTATCCTTCGAGTTCGTGGAAAAACATGTTCAGAAATAGAAACTGACAACTTTTCGGCAAGTAAGCAGCTTTTTTTCTAATACAATTGTATGAATTATTTTGCGGCTTAGCGCTACAAGCACGTTGTTGTCAATTTTCTTTTATCTCCTATGTGGATTGCTTTATTCTGGGATTTACCCACCTCGCCTGCATTTCATTCGGTGCTTCGTCATTATCAGTCTACAATGATTTCTCGAGTCGAGAAGGCAGTCGCGCAACCTTTAGTACGCGCATTACCCATATGGATATATATTAGCTGTGTGAAGGGGTATTGCTCAGCCGAAATGTCCCCGGTCTTGTTTACCCCATAGGCGCCCACGATTGTGAGAACCTGTAGAACAGTGAAAACGGTGACTTTAAAAAGAACATGATGTCAGGAAACGGCGCATGGCATCGAATGGCCTTGGTGAAGATGTAGAATCTACAAGCCATCAAACTGACTGGTAAAGTGCACATGTATTGGAAAAAAAAAAAGCTAGCATCATGCCTCCACGTGGAATCCCTGCACATACATATGCTGAACATGAGTAATGGGTCGCTTTCGACAATGTAGTTCTGGGGCTTATGTCAGGCATTTAGGCGTACTTAAACGGACACTAAAAAGAAATAGTGACTAGGTTTAGATTAACAAACTGTATTCTGAGAACTCTAGTACCTTATTTTTCTCTATCATAAGGAGAAAATGAAGGTTGAAGGTTCTTAAGTTTTACGCTGAAATCTCCACACATGAAGAGATGTTTCAAAATGCATTCTTTGTAGTTACGCGACATTGACCTGAAGAAATCTTCTGAAACTTCGTATGCTAGATCTATGGCCCCCACAGATGACAATGTACTTCATTTTTATCAAGTATAAGTTATGTAGGTCCTATTGGACACCTTCAAAATTTATGACTCACGGCGTTTGGTACAGGAATTAGAAGATGTCTCTACCCGCATCTTCTTTTTGCACGCTTTCTTACGAACATTGTGTCGTGGTCGGAGTGGTGTTACGGTGACACGACATGAAAAATGGTTTCACACTTTAGTGTGCCTTTAAATATGGCGTACCTTTCTTATAGCCTTTATTGTGAACAAGGCTCCCGCATGAGGTGCCAAAATGTAGTGAACTTTGTGTTCTTCTGGTTTATGTATCCTTTAGCGTTTGCACTAAGAAGTAACAATTACGCACTACCTTTCCCACCTTTTCTAGCTGTTCACCGTAGTCAACTGAAGGAGTGCTCTGATCAATGGTAATGCTTATTTTTGTGACACATGCACAGACTGTCATCACTTTCCATGAAACTGAGCAGGTTTTTCAGAAATTCCCCAACTTTTCCAGAAAGGTATAAATTCCCTGACTTTTCTAGCTTGGTGGATACCCTGTGAGATAACCAAACAAACCACCCTTTGACAACATTCATGGCATAAGCACACATAGAAACTCGACGTGGCTAGCAGACAATGCGCGGAGCAATCCACACTTGGCGCTTCAGCCAGTTGTCACCAGGCGGCGACTCTGCTTGATCTCGAGGCCGGACGTACTACAACGGAAGTCAAGCAGAAGCTTGTCTTTGCACAAATAAAAGAAAGGTGAGAAGACAAAGAATCACACATTAAAGTCACAAATCTATACCACAATATCGTAACTTAGTCACGATAATTTATTACATTTCTTGGTTACCATGCAATATCTCAAAAGCATGATTATATATTGACTGCAAAACACAATACCAACACATTCTGGCCTTTCCTTGAAAACACATTGCTTTAAGGCTTGTAAAGTTACATTACAGGAAGGTGGCCTAATTTAATGAGCACACAGTCGAAATATACAGTTTCAAAAAAAAAACAAGAAGAAAACTCAAAATCGTAGCAAGAATATGTGGTAAACAATAGGAGTTGATGAGTACATACATTTTTTAATACACGAGATTATATTAAAGATATCCCTAGAAGAATGAAGCTACTTAAAAATAGCAACAAAATGGTGACAGATGCTAAGACTTAATTAAGTACAACCTCTTATTAGCAATTTTGTGACTGAGATTATTACACCCGTGGCAATCAGGCGCTGATACGATCTCAACCCCACAGGTCTTCGGTTCGCCCGAACTTGAACACTAAGGCCCTGCAAAAAGAAAAAAAAAATACACAGCCCTATTAGGGTTACTGTGGTCGTATGCGAGTGGCACTCCAGACATGCATTTGAATTCTTTGTAACTTCGAGTGGACACTTGCTGTGTATGATAAAGCTAATATGCAGTCGACATGGAAGAGGACACACAGCAATTTTCCTGTGTGCTCTTCCTTGTTCTGATTGAGCATCATAAAACAACAAGCCAATGTCTTCAGACCAAATTTATGAAGGGTGAAATCATATGGTTGCAACTGAATGCTAAAACGCCCAAATTTATAACATACTGAATCGGGCAACACAATAGTCCATAGCTCCACTTCTGAACGGAAAAGACAGTTGTGCAACCCAATAATCTTGTTTTCAATTTTCTTGACCCGCTGCTTTTCTATACCTCTATAGGCACAGGGGAGCCATTTTCTGACATAGACTGACAACAATCAGCCGCAATGTGTGAGGAAGTGTTAAAAAGATCCTAACTTACAATAACAGAACACAGCATACTGTTCAAGGAGCTGTGCAAGTGCTAATCGCCATCATATGATTCTTACCTTTACTGGCATCCCCTCTAAAATTGGGCAGCAACATTGAGTCACACTTGACTATTATCATAATGAAACAACACATAGAAATTTTTAATGAAATCTGCATACAGCTCAATTTGACAACTTCATTCTTTATGACTGTCTTGCAACTGAATACAACAAAATAAATTATTCTACAAAACCATGAAACCGCCAAAGTTTCATACCAATAGCGGTATGGGTGTCACTCTGCAAACAGTTCTAGTCAAGCACTACAGGGTATCCTTTATTCCGAATCATTTATTTCATGTGAGTCAGAAATATGCAAACAAGAGAATAATTCCATGACCTTAAGGACAGTGTAAGGATCAATATAATTATTATGTTCATAGCAACTTAGCACCACCTTCACAAATTGTGACAGTAGGCAGTGGCACACTTGAGGTCACAGTTTTATGCTGAGTAAACAGAAATCTTAAATGAAACTGGGAGCGTCCAGATTGGAACCAACACGAGCTCCCAGTCACCACTACCTATTTTGAAGAAATTGGGAGCACTTTTAGATAGGCTTGCAAAAAATAACATATAATAAGATATGCTTGAGAAAAAAATACAAATACTTTGGCCTCAAAAACCATTTTTCTATCAATTTCACAACTTGTACACTTTGAGCATACTTCTCACAATATTTATTCATTTAAACGAACTAATTAAAGTCAAGCATAGTGCGATGAGATTGCCTAATACGATGGAGTCTAAATGAAGTGACCGCACAATAGAGCATCGAGTCCGCAAACACAGCACAGGCATAATCACAGCCTTGATATTTCGTCGTCTTTCACATTGAATTTAATTGAATTCTTACTTCTCCGGCAACAAAAGAGGTGGTCCTGGGGCTATGGCAACAGGCAACATTGAAGTCCCCTGACTAGGCCCCTAGCCTCAGGCAGCACAATCACACAAGCAGCAGTTTAATACAAAATGCAAATAGCTTAGAAACTGTAATTCAAAATCTTATTCAATTCTATGTTCAACTATCCAACAATATCACACAAACCATACACAGTTTGTATTCATTTCTGGAACCTGTAGTCAAACTTTGTAAGCATAAATATGTGTAATAAAATAATGGTTGATATACACAAAAAAAAAAGTTTTTTTTACAAAAATTCAACACGAAAGCATTTTTACAAAAACACCAAAACACACTCGCACACAATAACAGAGCAACAAAAGAGGAGACAGAAGAACATGACATTATTGCTCGAGTAGAAGCTGTAACTTTTTTCTGGAAGGCTAGCAAAGAAGAGCACCTCTGCATCACATCAAGTAGAGAAGGGTACATATTTGAAAGAGTTGGTATCTGCCGTTGGAGCAGTTGTATGCCGTATTCTGTCCTAGTCTAAATTTTTTTAAATGCAGTGTGTCTGAGACTATAATGCGAATCAGCATTAGTGTATAATAATAAAAATATTTCTGGGTCTGATTTCAAGTTCAGGAAGGCTGTTTTGGCTAGGCGTTTATTATATATGTCCTTAATAGTCAATATGTAGCTATATTTAAAATAGGAATGAACATGTTGTCGACTTGATAAAATAGGAAGAAACATGTTGTCGACTTGATAAGTTGTGAATGAATCGATAAAGAACATAAATGTTTGTTTTTGACGTAGCGCCCCAAACTAGTATATAATACTGTAGCCTTGTGTGAACAGCACAATGGTAAAGTTGTTTTACGTTCTCGGCTAACAACATACGAAGTTTGTTTACGGCGCCGATTGTTAGGGCTACACTATGTTTTACACAATTGACATGATACTTCCACCGAAGGGATTCGTAAAAAAAGACACCAAGAAACTTGCATTCTGAAACTTGTTGTAACACTTCCGATTCGAACGATATGGCATTTTGACATTGGACCAGTTTATTTATAGCACAAAAGATAACATACTTAGTTTTTTGTGCATTCAAAAGTAGCTGATTTGCACTTAACCACTGCAATAAATTTTGGAGGTAAATATTAGCATCATGTACGATGACTGTTACATCTTTTGAAAAGAAAAACAAATTAGTGTCGTCAGCGTATAGCACAATTTCAGTTGGCGAATCTGTTCCCCCGTGGTGCCTGGGAGTCATCTGGCAAATCAGGGCATTGGTAGAATGAGAGTCATAGTATGGCTTTAGCACAGACCGTACACGTAGTCGACTTGTACGGCCTCGCATCCTCAATGGAGTGAGTTTGGCGGTTCTGTGAGTGGCTCCACGATGTAGTCCACTGGCAAGGTGGCATCAGTGACACAGTACGGATCACAGTACTGCTGCACAGTTTTTAGAAGAGAGGCCAGAGACATGTGGAGGTACCCATAGCAAACAAAAACAAAGGAGCCAGCAGAAAACATGGGAGCTGAGATATGAATGACGTCATGTCATGTCGACACTGAGCTTTGCTAGTCGAGAAACAAGCCAACTGACGGCAGTCTTCAGTGTGTCGGGCTATTTGAGCAATTGGAGTGCCCTCCGAGGCATCACGCTCATATGGCAGTATGGTATCCAAAGGCTAGCAGCCGTATGAAAGAAAGAAGGGCAAAAAGCCAGTAGTCGCTTGCGCCGCGGTCTTGTATGAGAAGATAACAAAAGGCAGTAGGATGTCCCGGTTATTCTTGTAGTCGGATGAGGCATGCATTCTCATCAACGTGTCGAATGTGCGGTTGAACCACTTAGCAAGGCCATTCATTTGTGGATGGCAGGTGCTAGCTTTACAGTAAATGATGTTGCATTCAGCGAGCATGACATCTGAGAGGAACACGCGGCCTCTATCACTGAGTAGCTCCCATGGAGCACCGTGGCGAAGGGCATAATTGCGAAGGATGAACTGAGCACCTTTGCCCACGATCGCTGCCGGAAGAGCTGATGGACATAGAGGTCGATACTGATGCAGTCAAATGGGTGAGCTGGGCAGGGGAGTGGCTGCCACGTGCCAGTAATTTTTCACAGAGGTGTCTTGCCTTATTGACATGTAGTGAAAGATTGGACGTATTTCTGCACAACGCAACACATTCCATGCAAGTAGTATCGCTTACGAAGCTTTGCATAGGTTTTCGACATTCCGGCATGAGTACTTTGGGTGTTGGTGTGGAAGGTCGCGTATATGTCAGAATGCATACGACGAAAAACAGCAAGGAGCCCCTTCTCACAGTCAAGAATGTAGTTGTGGCCGTACAGGAGGCCATCTTGCACAGAGATGTGGACGGCTTCGTGGTGTACGCTCTCGGTGAAGAAACAACAGATGGATTGGTAAGGCAGTCGAGCAACAAAGCAAGGTATGGATCTTTGCGCTGCTCTAAAAGCATATAAGTGTAGTTGAGTGATGACAAGCTCATAAAAAGGGGTGATAGAGGGGTGACATCAGGTGTTATTGGTGAGCGGGAGAGCACATCCACATCAGCATGCTTGCAACCACAGAACAGCATACGACACAAATATCATATTCTTGCAAGCAAAGTGCCCGACGGCGAAAGTGCCCCAATGGGTCTCTCAAGGTGGAAAGCCACAACAGAACGTGGTGGTCTGTGGAAACGTCAATAGGAAGGCCATAAGGTACAGGCGAAACTTCATCAGTGCCCAAATTATTGCCAAGCGCTTCTTCTGTCCCAGAATTATTTATTTTGGCTTTTTTCAAAGCACGACTCACCCTACTGTACTTCCTTGAAAGAGTGCCAGAGGCACCCACATAGGGGCCAAATTACAATGCAAGAAATTCCTAAAGTAAGAAATTACAGCTTCACTTCATTGCTTTATACTTAAATTGCTTATATTGATTATTTTTTCTGGGGCACTGCGACAACCAACTTTATTATTTACCTTTTTGCTCTTTTTTTTGTCTTGGTTGTCAGCCGCGTATCATCATTATCATTTTCTCACGTCATGTTCCGTTTGCTTAATTCAAAATATGCAGTGGCAGAGGTGACGTTACTACAATCAAACTTGGGTATATTGAACTCGCCAAAAAGCGTTTATTAGCTCAATATGGCATATTTCAACATAGGTCTGCTATAGAATTCGATGATGCAAAAGCACATCAAATAAAAAGTGTACCTAATTAGTATTGTGGCTTACTCGCATGCCCTACTTTGAAACAAAATAGTCCAAGATTTTCTTTTGTTTTATAGACTTCGCTGCCTGCGAAAGCACGCATGCCTCATAGTTGTTCGAGTCAGAGGCCGCAACCTTCCATATTCACGCAATAACGCCGGACAAGTGCACTAATCTCTTCAGAGGCAATGGGCCATTGTCAATTTGCTCAATGACACCACGTTGGCTCGTGGTCGGCATGACGTCTGCAACATAGCCCTTATCTTGTAGCTGGCCTACGATGGCGACATCATCGTCAGCACTGAGGAACTCGACAAATGTCGATAGCACTCGGGGACTCTGCCAGCTTGCTCCAAACTTCGGCAGAAACGCCTGCGGT